TGATACGGGAAGGTTTCCATACATAACATACCATTAAAAACTAGCAAACAAAGTGCAAAGAGAGACAGCTTTCCCACCCCCTTTTTAAACAAACACAACAACAAAACCACCAACCCAACAATGGGAGGTATCCTGTATGGCTCTGTGCTGCCATGTGGATTCATGAATGAATTCATGAATTACTTAGAAAGTAGGGTGGATAGACAGTTTGCTGCTGACAACACTAAGTTATTCAGAAACATAAAGAGGGCTAAGCATGAAAAGCTGCAGGGCTTCAGAATCCTGAGTGAATGAGATGGCCAGTGAAACCTCACGTATATGAACAGGAAGCAATTCCAGTTCACGTGCAGAAGACAGAGTCTGACCTAACCATTATTGCTGAGAAGTAAGTCCTTGGGGTTTCATAGAGTTTTTGACAAAGTGTTCACTAACAGTCAGAAAGAGAAACAGCATTACCAGCAATGTTTAGGAACACAACACAAAAGCATTATTATGCCATTGTATAAAACTGTGACTCCAGCGTTTTGAAGAGCATGTGAAATACTGATCCCTCATCTCAGGAACAGTTGAAATAGAATAGGTACAGAGAAAATTGGTAAGGATGACCACAGGTATGGAATGGCCGCCATGTAAGAAACAGTATCATAGACTGAGACCTTTGGCCTGGAAAAACTGAAGCTCCCTTCAGCACAAGAGGCACCGTAATCATAAGTGACATTGGGAGTGTGGGTTATAATGAACAGGTCTCATTTTGGAAGGGGTACTGAATAAAGGAACATCTGATCAAAACCAGCACGCACCAGTTTCAGAAACAAATGCAAGACTGCACTTGTTTTCTCACAGCACGGTTCAGCTGAGGAATTCCTTCCCAGAGGATGTGAATGCTAAAAATACATCCAGGTTCAGGAGACTGGGCAATTTTTTCAAAGAAAAATCTAGTGAGGACCATTAAGAGCAAAGGTGCCACCTCTGGGACAGCAGTCTAGGGTAGAAACACTACATTTGCCCCATTTCTGCACTCTTCCTGCGATCCTTGCTATTGGTCACCATTCCTATTAGTCCTCACATAAATGTAAGGGACCTCCTTTATTGACCACGTGACACTGTTACAGAGACCTTTGGTCTTACCCAGTACAGCTGCATTATGGTTGTAACAGAGGTATGCAAAATGCTTCACTCCTATATGCTCCTTGTATCTAGCATCAGTGGGCAAAGACAGGAACGTCCTATACAGGTGTCATGGTTTAGGCTGGGCTGGCCAATAAACAAACAACAGATGCTCTCTTTAACCTCTCACCCTTCAGAGAAGGGAGATGCTGTCATTAGACCATCATTATGGTCCTATATATAGTGAAAAAATGTTTCATGGCCTGAGCTTTACCTGAACAACTCCACGGCTAAGCATGAACCAAGCCAACAATTTGGAATCTTTCCTGCGGGACACGTGCAATTTTGTGAACAGCTGGAGCTGGTTGTACTATGAAAAACTGCAGAAGTATTTTAACTTGTACAATGTTCCTAAACATTGATAGCTTACATTGGGGTTGAACAGCTGGTTCTAGACCACAGCTGAAGAGCCTGAACATACTATAAGATACTAGTGACCTGCTACAAAGTGAAAGATGTGTTATTGTCACAAGATAAAATATTGACTCCTGGCTTTGTTCAAAGTCAAGATCTTACTAACTTCAATTCTCAGTTTTTCAGTCTAACAAGCAGAATTCTCTCACAAAATCAGGGATATTAGCATCTGTGTCAGCCAAATTCCTGTTCAGATGATTGCAGCCTGGATATCTAAATATTTCATGGCATGAAACATAGCTTAATACTTATCAGAAACTTACTCCTTGGCTGAAGTTGACTTTCTTCCTGGGGTTTAATGCAAAGCCTTCTGCTTATCTTCAGATCCACTTCTTTAGTCGTCCTCAGAATTGAGGGAATATTTCTTCCCAGCAGTTTAACAGCCCTATCTGGAAGAGAAAACAGAGGAAGCAAAGGGGCCAAATCTAACTCAGAACAGTAGAAAGTGAGAATGCTACCTTTTAAATGGAAGTTGTTGTTTGTTCGGGTTTTTTTAAAACACAAGAGAAAAAAGAAAAACAATAGGTAAAAATCTAATATTACGCAAAAAACCAACAGATTCAGGTTGTAACAGAGCCTATCAAAGAAATTAAAGCTTGCCTGTAAGCTACGACTTGAGCTCGCACCATTAACCTTGTTTAGAAAAATGGGAATGCAAGACTACAACCTACAAGCAATTTCTAAGACAATGTGCATCATAATTTCAAGGAACTTATCTATTCATATGCCTCAGATATACTTTGGGCAGTACTATTTGAAGGACCGCACCCCAGCCTTCTACCAAACTTAGCACATCCCAAAAGGCAGTCACAGACTTGACAGTCAAGAAAAAAGCAGAATCTTGCAGCATAGAGATATACTTTGTATACTTTCTTATACACTACTTTGTAGCATATTAGGAAAGGACAGGGCACCTTATATATGAAAACACACATCCAAGAAAGAGCTTCTACTTCATTAATTAACATAACGAAAAAATTCTGAGGGGAGGGAAAAATAAAACCCACAACTTTGAAAGGCAAAGGGCGCTTTTAAAAATATAAATTGAGGTTTGGGGTTTTTTTTTTTTACTTCTTTATGCTGGTTGAAAATGTCTCTCCTATGAGAAACAGTTGCCATGTACTTTCTAGGCATAACACATCCCAGCTCTGAAAAAAAAAATATATAAATTTACGTTTACAGGCGACACCCCCCACCCCGAAACCAAACCCTTTTCGAGATCTTCAAGAAAGGGGAAAAAAAAAAGGCACGAATCTATTCATTTTTTGGTTTGTTTTTGTTTTAAAGCCAGCTCGGAGCCCGCCAACCCTCAGGCGCCGGCGCTCCCACCTCCCCTCAACCCTATCCGCACCAGGGCCGGGGCCGTCCCCGCCGGGGGG